ACATAATTTCAAAATACTTCTTAATAATGTAACGTTTTCTGGTGGCATCTTTCTAATAGCTTCAAGAATGATTTTTCTTTTTTCTGCTGAAGTTGTTCTTGTTTTTGCTCTTCCTTTTTGCCATTCTTTTAATAAATACATTGAAACTTCATATGGAAATACTTTTTCTTTCATCTCTCTTAAAAACTTTTTAAATACATTAGCAACAACATCAGGTGGAAGATCTTCAAAGTCAGTAACACTCATTCGGTGGTAAATTTCTTCAACATCTTTGGTACTTGCATTAGTAGTTTCTCTAAAAATTCCATGGGTAGTACATCCTTTGTTGTACAAATAAACCAAAATATTTTCTATTATACGAGGTAATTGATAATAAGGTCTTCCTTCAGATTCTAATATCTCTTTTAAACTTCTTCCACAATATAATACATTTGGTTTTGGCTCTACATTTTTAATTATATAACTTTGTTTTGCTTTTTGAGCTTGTTCAGTAATCATTGTCAAAGTATCATTGCAACTAAAAAATAAATCCCCAGTAGAAAATAATGTTTGAAATGCATGAAAGATGTTAGTAAAAAGAAGTGGAGATTCCCACCTTAATCTTTCACTCATTTTATAATAAGCAGAAACTAATGTTTCTGGATTTTTATTTTTCTCAAAAAGTTTTTTGATTTGTTTCAAATACGAAATTGTTTCATCAGTTTTTCCAAAAGTAGTAGTAATCTCTTGCCCAGCAACTTCAAGGCTATTTGTTATAAAAACAAAAGACTCTAATAATGTTTCTGAATGACAACTTTCTAATAAAAATGTCAATCTCTTTTCATAACCAATAAGAAGTCTTAAGCAATTTTATAACAAACTATCAAATCCTGTAATTTGTTGAATCGTTGCTGTTTCAAGAAAATCTGCATGACTTTTCATTAAATCACATAGTTCTGATATCTTTTGATTAAAGTTATTGGCAAAAGAACGTTGTTTTTCCCAAAATGAAACAACTTTTGGGATCTGTTGTCTTTTAGTTTCAATTGCTTGAATAGATTTATCATGTCCTCTCTTTTTCATTTTAACAAGTTCAATTTTCTCAGATTTTTCTACTTAAAAGAGTTTTTGAGAAAAAGAAGATTTTTTATGACGGTTAAAATATAAGATTGTTAATTTGTAGATTTTAAAATGAATAATAAAAGAGATACATATTAATGATAAACAAACAAAGAGATCAAAGCAACAAAAAAGAGTAAGTTGATATGTTCCAAAAAAAGTCAAAAAGAATGTTTGAGAATTACATCATATCAGGTGGAATATCAAGTTCTTCTTCAGTTACTTCTCTAATTTTAAACATTTCTTCTGATAGAATTAAAGAAACAAAAGTCGAATGATCCATTTTACCTGGAACAATATTAAATCCATATTTACCTAATTGGTTATCAATTTTTTGTTGTCGTGCACCAGAAGTCTTTTCAACAACAAAATCATAAACGCTTTGAGTTAATTTTGCAGAAGATGGTGAAGTGTAAAGTTCTTTTAACAATGAATAAAATATTTCATTTCTCTTTTTACGATGTTCTGGAATACTTTCATCCCAAACCATTTTATTAATTCCATAATCTTGAGGAGATTTACCAAGAACATTTGGATCAAAATTATCATATATTCCATCAGTCATTAAAAGTAAATTATCTCCAGTCATACAAATATTAATTCCACATGTAAAATTGCCTAAATCAGGTTTATCTAATTCTGCTGGTCCTAATCTTCCACATGCATTTGTAACATCAATTCTTGGTTTATATCCACTTACTAATTCCCAACAAATATCGTTTTGTGGTCTCATTAATATACCTCTACAATCACCGATATTAACGTAAGCAACAGCATATTTATCATCATCTCCTTTAATTTTTAAAATTACACAACCTAAAAAGGTAGTCAACCCAATTGAGTGAATATCCTCAGCTCCACTGATTAATTCAGTTTGAATATAAGCAACAGCTTTCAGTAATACATCAACAATTTGTTTCGGTGTTTTTTTTCCATTTAATTCAACAGCTAAATAATCTCTAAATTTTTGACATGAGATTTTAGATGCTTTTGAAGGAAGATTTCCCATCCCACAACCATCAGCAATTGAGACAATGACAAAATTATCAAATATATCAATTGCATGTGTATCAGCAATTGGTTTCCCAAATTTTACTTCATTGATTGTTGGATATGTAGAGAATATTGTTGATGCATAATTATCTCCAGAACTATACATAAGATATCTTTCTGGGTCTTCTTCAATTTGTAGTTGGAGAAGAGAAAAATGAGGAGTATAACAATTTGGAGGTTCAAAAGTGATTTTTAAATTTTGTTCTTCTTGTTTGTCATATGTCTCTTTGATCATTTTGAAATACGACTTATCAAAGGTCATTTGTTTCATTGAGTTGGTATTAGAGAAAATTAAGTTCTAATACTTAAATTTCTTTTGGAACGTTTTTTCTATTCTTATAGTTTTTTATTTTTAAAACATTGAAGAAAAATTACTATCAAACAAAGAAATAACATATGTGAAAATAATAATTCTTGTATTATTGTCAATAAATAGATTAATATATTAAGAGTAATGAAAAAAAATATTAATTTTATTAATATTTTTATTAGACTTCAATAAAATTTTATCTACTAAAGTAATAATTATTATTGGAAAGATTTATTATTTTACATTTAAAACTCCACCAATCAATTATACGAGGAATTTTCTTAGATTTTAAATTTGAAAATTAACTCTTTACTAATTGAAAAATATACTAAACAAACTCCAATAACCAGTTTTTAATTAAACTCACTTAAATTTATTCTATTAATTGACTATTTCTTTTTAGTAATTTTATTTATTTTAGATTTAATGAATGACACTCTCTCACAAAAAATTCACGTGAAACACCTTGTTTTGATGATTGTATGTGATAAAACATAAATTCATTGTGATAATTACTATATGTTACTGGATCCATCCAATCACACTGACTCCATTCATTTGATATCCACAAATAAATCCCATTAATCAAATTTCTTAATTTGAAAATAGCACAAACTTCATTATTTTGATTTAATCCAACAATAGCTTGAGAACATTTTAATTTCTTATTTAACTCTTCTAACTGAAATTTCTGGTTTGTAGAGAGAAACCTAATATTTTCATTTTGAAAAAGTTCTGATTTTATAGATTTCAGTTGAATATTCAAATTGTAAGTCTTTTGAAATATAGGTTGTGACATATCTATTTTGGCTGATAACAGAATAACCAGTTCAACTTACTTTCCTTTTATAAAAAAGAATGTACACAGTA